CGTCCCCCCCCCCCCTTCCTTATTGTTTTCTTATTCCCTCTGGGCTTTCTTCTCCATCTGGATGAAGGGCTTCCTTCTCTTTATTTTGTAAATAGAGATCTTTTGCTGTTCCCAGCTCCCTCATTCTCTGGAAATGTACCTGCTGCAGCTTTTCAGCTTGTGCTATTCTATGGAAATATACCTTCTGCTGCTCTGCAGCCCTATGCTTCCTCCATGGTCCCCCAAATTTCCAAAATTTATAAAATTTCCTAAACCTGTCCTATTTTACCCCTAAAATTCCTGTTTCAGTAGGACAAATTCGTGGGAAAGTAGGAATTACAGGCATGGGGAAGTAGGCACAGTATAATCATTACAGGTTACAAGTCATGCAGGCTGGGGGGAGGGGTCACAGAGGGTGGGTGCCTCTGGGCCCCGGGAACCAGATTACAGGCAATAGGGGCTGGGGCCTGTAAAGAGCAGATGCCTCCAGGACTCAACTGTGTCCGCCAAGAGGTTGTAAATCTCTCCATAATGATAGACAGTTCTCGGAACTCCCAGCCCGGTTAGAATGTGCTTTCTTTAATCAGAACAAAACAATCACGGTTAACAGAGCATGGTTAATACGTTTCTTATAACTAATAGCTAGTTCCCAATATGATGTTTCTGCCCTTCACAGCTCTTGCTCCTGAGGGAATGCATTGTACACATCCCTGGGTCTGCTCAGCGCGTGCCTGGGCAGCAACCTTTCTAAGGACGGTACCGTCTGCGGCGGGACCAGTTCCAGGTCGCCACCCCGACGTGAGGAACACAGAGCAACGGGACCAACCCCCGGATTCACAGGAAAGTCGGGAGATTAAAGCAGATAATGTGTTGACGCGCTTGGCTCAGTAGCGGCACATAAAACACGCTCAGATCCTGCAACAGTGTCGGGGCGAGGCTTGTTGTTACACTGGCCCTGAACTCTCCTCGGTCCCGTTAAAAAGCCCGTCTTGGAATTCCTATCGTTGATTATTAATAATAAACATTTTTCCTCCCCGCATACACCGATTTACGGTCCCCGCACCCGCACCGCACCCCGGGCTCGGGCCAAACACGCCAAGTGCAGGCGCCGGGGAGCCGGGAGCCCGGAGCCGGCAGCGCGAGTCTCGGTCTCCGACGGGGCGCCCCCGGGAGAAGCCCCCGCCGCGTTCCGGCCCTCAAGGGGCGGTCCCTGGGCTCGGCCTCCCATTGGCTGCCAGTCGCGTCACCTGCCCGCCGGTGAACCAGGAGGCGGGACCTGGCCCCTCCGGGGCGGCCGGAGGAGGGCCGACATGCCCCGGGCCGGGCCCTGGGCCCTCCTGCTCCTGTACCTGCTGCCGTCCGCTGAAGGTAGGGGCGCGGGAGGGCGCGGGAGGGTGCGGGGCGCCCTGGGCGAGCGCGTCCACCCTCGGAC